AAGCGTCGTTATTCGTACTAACAATGTAACTGTACTATTTAAATAATAATTAAATTTTAAAAAATTATTTGTTTCTGTTGTGTGTCGGTTTTGTTGTTTGAATATATGAGATGTCTAAACGTATCGGCTATTGTATGACGGTGCGAGGCGCAGTGCTCCTAGTGACACGGCCGGTGCCTCCCGAAGAACAATCGGTAAGATCGACAAAATGCCCCACAATCTGCGCTTTCTTTATATCAGTAAACTTGTACATACATGGATCGATTACAGTCTGTCGTTGTATGTTGCGAAAAGCTAACGATTTTCTTTTTTTCTTTTTTTTTTAAATTACACGCAATTAAGAACAAAGCGGGAACAAAACAGGAAAAAAGCAGAAACAATAAAGTTGTCCATCACTATCTTCGCAAATTAATACACCGAGTGTCTCAAATTTAAATGCTGTATAAACGTGAAGATAGATGATCGCTAATAATTAGATTTGTAGATTCATTAAAATCATAGTATTTCAAATACAAAAAAATCTTTTAAATTTCTTTTCATCAGCAAATTCTAAAAAAAAAAAATGAAGTTAACAAATTACTGTCTTCTTAGCATTCGACGTATCGAAACTCCACGGAATTTACAATCATCGCGCAATCTCGTCAGCGATCTTACCAAATGTTCATTCTTAAAATTACGATGCTCAACGCTCGACGCTCTGTTTCAATCACACCCTGAACGATATTAATTACTTTTTACTTCGTAGTCGCTCCTCCGCTGGCATTTATACTTTACCTAATACTTTTACACGCTACGAATGTTTTTTTTTCCTTTTTCCTTAAACCGTAATCATTTAGCATGTCACACTACGGTTGAATTCCCTTTTTCCTCCGGGTTTCTCTCGCTATTACCAACTATTTTGCTATTACGAGCAATAATGTACATCAATTACAAAACAAGATACAAGTGTTAATGTGTTCTTGTTACATCGACACCGTCTCGCGTAAGATGGTTGTACTTATAAATATACCACATTTATTAATTGGAGAAACTCGCCGCCGTTTGACATCTATCATTCACAGAGCGATGTACTATTCCTTCGCGTTTTATTCTACGGCGACACTGCGACGATACTTCGAAAGATCTTTCGATGACCGAGCACAGATAATCGTCCTTAGAAAATTCTGCGCTGATGGAAGAAAACCGACGCGAGTCATACCGCGTCGTCAAGCTCGACGCGGGTAAAATTGCAAATATAATTCTTAACATTATAATAATACTACGCACGGTGTAATTACGAAAACCTAGCTTTTCAATGACGACAAAAACACAATGGCGTTACTTTTGAAAAAGAATTCGTTCCCTCAAAGGCGCTCGTTATGCAATGCATTCTTATTGTATTTGAATAATTTTTATACTAATCGCATTTTCGGACGCCCTAATTGGTTTGACAGATTATGATAATGTTCCTGAATGTCTAATTTTGTTGTGTATATGTTGCGTTGATTCGGAACTTTCATGACACTCTCGATGAACGAAAAATAGGAAGCTAGATGGATGCTGCCACTTTTGCGGATAACGAACGACACTTCCGCATGCAAAATCAGTTAAAATAATCTCTAAATAATAAATATTGGGTTGATGAGCTTAACGCAATGCGAATCACTCTAACGGCAGTGGAAGATTTTGGATTTACACATGCAATGTATACTATTCCAAACGACATTACATGTTGCATAAAATCAAAGAGACCAAGTATTCTAGAAAAACTTGACACTTTTTTTTCTACGAGCAAAGTTCTCAACGTATCGTTTATACATGGGATACGCAAGACGCGTCATGTGATTAATTAATAGGGAATAATCATTGACTACATTACAATAACCGTCTAACATTCTTCTTTTACAAAAGTAACAGCAGTTACAATAGTAAATCCTATACTTATTAATTTGACAGATTTTTAATATCCGCGAATCAATACAACACAGTCACAGTAAAGACATATATCCTTGTCTTAGAATATTGATGTGTGAAAATATGAATATTTTTTCTTTTCATTATGTTATATGAATAATTTCATTCTGCATACATCATGCGTCTTTTGTCATGTAATTCACAAGTTAACGAAACCTGACACTAAATGCAAAGAACGTAAGAAATCAAATTGGTTCTGCGAAACGGTGTTAAGATCTTTTCTTCAATTTGTAATAGGATAGTCCAGAGAGTCGGGAATAATTGCAAATTATAAAAAAAACTTTATTCTACTTATTGGGGGGACATAAGTGCTGCTCGATCATCTTGCAAAGAGAACGAATAAAATTTTTTTAATAATTATTATTGATTTATATATAGTTATAATTATTATAAATTAATAATAATTTTATTCTAACTATCTAGATTGCCATATTACAAATTGAAACATTAACTTCGTTCATCGTTTTGTCTATTCTACTTCTACAGCGAATAATACCCTTATCGTGCTCATCCATGGGCAAATATACGCTTGCATGTATGTATGTTGTGACATGTGTACAATATATGTATATAGATTCTGTATACATTATATTCATATTCATATTTATATATTTATATATACATATATAACTTCTCTCTTTTTCACATTTATTACTTTGCAAAATATTTCTTTTGCCGACGATACGTCGGCATTAAGCCCGTATAATACAATCGCAAATTACACTTTTGTTGCTTAGGCAAATGTTCACTTGTTTATCGGTAAGTACAATGATCATTCGCATCGCTCCGTCCTAATCGACGAAGATCGAAACGATGCGCGCATGCTTCTATCTGAATAATCACGTCGATGTCGAGAAGTGCTTGTTATCGGAGACCAAGATCTCGACCTTAAGTGCGATACTTGTTGCACTTTTTATCAATATTCGTTAAACTGAAGCCGAATGTCCGATCGGCTTAGAACGTCTCGCTATAATACTTTACAATGAGTAAGTTTGACGAAAATCGCGTCATAGGTGCTAACAAGGAAATGAACGAGACGTTCGTGTCACAGTATACCCAAGTACTAGAGCATTTTATGAAACGCGAGAAAAACGCACTCGCGTAAGTGATGAACAGCGAGAATGGATGATACAATAGGCGAGTGTGTACCCGCGTTCACAGCAATTACTATTACAATGGAAAATTCGATTGGCCGCTAGAACGAGGCCGACTAATGCTTGGAAGTGAAGTGGTAGAGGGTGGATCAATCCCTTTCGACGACTGTCGGTCTATCGCGATCGACTGTCGGTGACGCGACGCATATCCTAATAGTAGAAGTGAGCGAAGCTGTTGCAGGTGTTGCGCGAACGTACCGAACCTCAGCTATGCGTTTGTGGATGTGGAGGCGGCGCACCGGTGATCTCGGTCCAGCGCATTTCGAAGAAACTGCGCATCCCGTGGCCGGCCTTGCCCACAGGACTGTCATCCTCGTTGAATACCTCGCAGTTGATGAACATCTGCCTGACATCGGCGCAAAACTCATCGCGAGACTTGTACCTGCATCGAGAAGCACCCGTTGTGAAAAACTTCAGCCTTCCAATGCCGACCAAGGTTGACGATCGGTCAATAGGGTTTTTTTTTTTTTGCGATCAGTCTATATGTGTGTGTATGTTAGATCTATTAGGCCTGTTTTAAAGACCAAGAGTTTTTGAGAGGAAAGGCAGCTAAAGATAGTACGTTCACTTAACTAATCGCTGGCGCGTATTGGACAACTTACGCGGAGTCCTGCAACTTCTTCTTAATCGTACTGAGATCCATGGGGGTTTTTATGATTTTCTTGTAGGTCGGGAACTGTTTGGTGTTCACCGGCAGGAGGAACGGCCAGGCCTCGTCCTGTTGCTCCAACTGTTCGAGGAGTATCTTACAAGGCGCCAGCTCTCGTTGTTGCTTCTTCGTGAGCGTCCGATTGTTACCCTCCTTCCGTGGTGAGGCGGTAGGAGTCGGCGGTTCCGACGAACTGACATCCTCTACGTGCGTGTTCGATGCCGTTGATGGCGTTGGACTGCGGCGCAAAACAACAGAGAAATTATTTGCACGATTAGCTTCCGTTCTGCAGGAGGTTTCCCGTCATAAAAGCCTCTGGACGAATGCGCAAGGACGAATTGCATAAGATTCGATCGTGTGTCCGGCTGAGACGGGTACGCTGCTCCCGATGAATTATTTGCGTTTCTCTCTGACTCTCTGTCTCTCGTTCGTTCTCTACTTCGTTCTATTACTTTTTCCGTTCTATTTTTCGCCCTCTTGCGCTCTCTCGTTTTTATTTCCGACTCATCATACACGACCTGAAGGCGGCTCTACTGTTACGATGAATATTTCTGAGAAAATATCTATTTCACAGTCGGCGATCGCAAATACACTAGACAACAACGATGTATCATGAATGTACAGGGTGTCCCGTAGAAACTTGGGATAAGACACTGACGAAACGGAAATCACTCGGGAAAATCTATTAGTTACAATCACCTTCAAAGAATGAAAAATTAGATCTAGCTTCTCATAGAACACCCTGCATGAAAGGAAAAGTTCCTCGAGACGACAAAAATTCTCGGCGGTATTACGACACCGAGGATTAAGTAGGTAAACGCATGAGTACAATGTATACAGATAGTTTTCGTATACAGAGTTAGATTCGTATTGAGATTACTTTATTCAATCGGGAATAATACTTGTCCGCCATTTGCGGTTGCGATGAATATTATCAAATCGTTCATTATAGCTGTTTTCTAATATACTTCGCATGAAACGTCATTAAGCCAGCAACTTGACAATGTTTGTTTGTTTTTAACGTAATCACCTAGCTGGTGGATGATCAGAACTTTCACTTTCTCTGGTGCCTCCCCCTTTGGTATGACTCCTTCGACTACTATTTCTCTTCTTTGGTTGTTTACTGTGGCAATTAGAGCAATACCATTTCCCTCGTGGTATCTGTAAGCAAAATATATTATGTACAAAATTTATACTTGCAGCATGTGTTTGATTTAGTTAAATAACGAGATCTTTAAGTATTTACAGAAACGTATTTTGATAATTTACTTACTTTTGGCATGACAGGATTGTGGCAGTCAGTGTGATAAGCCCTAGGACAGAGTTCGCATAGGACGAGATTTTTACCCGCTCTCTTTCCACACACTAAACAATTGCGTTCACCTGTTGCTTTGTTCATACATTCGTGACAATACCTGGAAGTAACAAGGAATACTTAAAACTCTTTGCTTCAAATAGAACTAGACAAGAATGTGATACGCATAAGCGTTACTCACCAGTCACCATCAGGAATGTTTTCCATTTTTGGACGGAAACAGTAAGTATGGTAGCCACGGTCACAGCCATCACAGAGCAGCAGCTTATCTTCGTTGTCTCCACTATGACAAAACTGGCAATTCTGCAACCAAAATAAATGAACTTTTCATTTAAAAAAAAACGGAAGAGTTAATCACTGATGGTTAAAATAGCATGAAGATTATAGCAGTTTGTTAGTTGAGCACTTAAAATAATTTTTAAAGCAATAACAAAGCTCTAGATAAGTATGTATTCAATTAATAAAGCGTAAAAACACAAAAAAGAATACGCAAAAATAAAAGCTAATTATAAACTAAATAAGATCTATGTATAATAAATTAATCCCCAAAATAATTTAGTATCAATTTAATCTAAATAAATATTCATAAAATAATAAGACAAAGATATTTTTGGTTATTACATATTACAAGATGAATCACAAAATCTATGCTGTATGCACTCATGTTATAATAAATATAATTTAAATGCGTGCAATAATACAAACGTAAGCAACAGTAAATCAATCATGACGACGACAATGGAATTGTTCTGAACGCACTAGAATGTGAAAAAGCGAACTAGAGCTATGCGAACGTAAAAGTTAAAAAATAAAATTGTTTATCAAAAAAACAAACAAACAGTAAGCGGCAGTTTTGCATGCAACCGTTACGTTAGACTCTGACCACCATTGAATGTACATTCTTAACGTATATTTTCGTTATGGTTTATGTATATAGACATTATGTGTTCCAATATTCAGTAATTCATGGACTCATCGATGGACGCGCGTTTATTTATAATATATCTGCGGCATCCATATAAATAAATACAAGTGGAACAAATGTGTTCAGGTATCGCGCGAACAGAGCGAAATCCAACGGATGTATGCAAATTTCATTGCCATATTGTTCGCACATGTGATATACAGAATTTTGGAGAATGAGATTGGAAACGGACGTATTGTAAAAATACTGTCGTGAGAAATGATCGTTAAGGCTCTGGTCATCGGATCGAGTAGACACCTGTCGATATCCATTCGAGGCGACGTACGCTCTCTGTAAGCCATTCAACGGAAGGGACAAAGGTATCGGGAGCAGAGGTAGCAAAGGACAATTCGGTTAGTAAGTTAGTGCGAATACCCACAGAGGTCTGAGAAGTAGTCAATAGCTGTTTGTACTGATTGGTAGCTTTGAGTGAGACGCAGCGGTTTCGTAGCTTGGCGCAGACCGAGTTTCTAGCTGTTGTTAGACTCACAGCCTTCATGATGCTCTTGTCCCAAGCGATGCTAGCCTCGAGCATGTAGAGTGCCATAGCGAGTTGCGCCGACGTATGCGCTCGTGCCGTCGCCTCCCGCCAGGTGTTCAGACCCCGTGGCGTCGTTTCTTCTGGCGGTGCAGGCGTCTGGTTATTCTGCTCAGAATTATTCGAGTTTGCGTTAGCGGCTGCTGCTGCTTGTTCCGCCTTGAGGGCTGCCAAATTGGGATCTCCCGTGCTATAAAATTATATAAATTATATAAATTACCAACACAAAATTAAAATATAATTAAAATGTAAACCTCTTGGTCAACAAATTTAATTTAAATATTAATTGAATGCTTGAACAATGATAATAGAAGGCGATTAAACAAATTTTATTTTTTAAAAATTTCATCAATCATTTAGATTTTGTTATTTTTATAAAATTTTCTTGCGAAATACGGAATCATAATTTTTCTTTTTACTATTGAATGAAGAAATTGTGAGATATAATTATTATATATAATAAAAATAAAATAATGTAGAAAATTTATCTTACCAAACACCTAAAGGTGGTTTTAAGTATCTTCTTTCTATAGCTGCCTCCAAAGAAAGTAACCTTTGCCGAGCTTGCTCGACTGCACTAATCTTTTCCATTTCATTCAACTTCTCAATTTCCTCGGCTTCTTCAGTTCCCGCTCGCGGCGGTAGCTTCCAACCTTTGACTTGCATGCTAGCATTAGCCACTTTATCTTCAAGTGCTTCCACTTGCTCCAAAAGTTGAGCATCTACTCGTAGCGCAACTTGCTCGCCCCAATTATTCGGATTATCGGGCTTTGGAATTGACGTATTGGGATCATCTGGTTCCGCTTGAAGTTCCGTGGCGGAGACGTTACCAGGATCAACATTAATTTTACCAGTAACGGCTAAGAAGGATTCCATCGTCGCCCATGTTGTACGTTTTAACTCTTTCTCGCGAACACCGCGGGAGTGTAGATGCTCGAGAAGTTCTTGGAACGTGTCAACGTCTGTTATCCTCCACCAACCATATCTTAGATCTATATAAAGTTACATATATATATTATTTTAATTATATAAAACTTATATATAATTAGAAACTTGGAAAATTATTGCATAGACAATTATTTGCATTTGAACATACTTTTACTTTAATATTTACAATTCGGCTTACCTTTTGACACCGGTTTGGCTTCACCAGGAGGCGGTAAACCGTGCACTTTCAAATATTCTAGTTGTGCTGCCTCATCTTGAGTTAATATCAGGGGTGCTGGACTATCGCATCTATCGTAACTCGGACTAGCGGGCGGTGGAAATATTGGGATTCTGAGCTCAGTCGGCTCGGCTATGCCAAAGATTTGCTTAGTGCTAGGTCCCGGAGTATCGCATGTTTCACGCGGTAAGATGGAAAACCAATTAGGCTCGGCATTGCTATTGTCTGAAATAATCGACATAACTAATTAATTAAAAATGTTGAAGAGTCTGTCCTAAATAAAGATTTATAGAAACTCACTGGAAATAAAGGAGCCGTTGAGTTCTTTCCCGTTGTGTAGATTATTGACATGGTTGAACTTGTCGCCATTCGGTATTGTTTCGACAATTTTATCCTCCATCGTTTTCACCAGTGGTTTCGTCATATCTTCGTCCGTCTCTTCATTCTCCTTTTTCACTTCTTCTTTCATATCGACATCTGTATTGATCACCTCCGTCTCCTGTTTTATTTCTTCGGATGTGACGTTCGTCTTCGCATCTGTCATTGTACTATCAACATCATTATTTCTCTTCTCCTCCTTTACATTCTCCGAACCGCAATTTTGTACAGGCTCCTTCTTACAGTTGACCTCCTCGGACTTCATCTTATCCCCGTGAGATTTCATGTTCTCATTCTGCTCACTCGAATTATGTTTCTTTTCAGCCTTAACTTCGTTTGGTGCTACATTTTCGCGATTTTCAGAATTCTTGCTTTCACCCTCTTGCTTCACTTCAGACTTCTCCTCTATCGGCATGTTTTTGTACTTCTCGTCGAGCTCGGCTTGGAGGTCGAGAACCTCCGGTTCGGCGCTCTCCATAGCTTCCACGAAAATGCCGCCGGCGCATGCTAATTCCCAATATCTCCTCCAATACCTGTCCTGGCCGAATATGTGCGCACGGAGTTGCTTCGAAGAGCTGTTCAACTTTTGTAGTTGTTCCTCTGATTGCTTCAATAGTTTATCCAATTTCTTACCCAATTCTTCTCCAGATAAATTCTTATCCTCCTCCTAAATAAGAATTTTTCTTTAAGTATCAACTAAATTTCCAAATTAACTTAAGATCAAATCGATATTCTGAAGTATACCTCTTCTGGCTGAGTGCCTTCACTCTCGTTTTCAGACATGTCTTCTACTTCGTCCTCATGATGAATCTCGTCTGGTGTAGGTGTCGTACCTACGGCAGTAGATGTAGTATTGCCTTCTTCCTCACCTTCCTTCTTCTCGATGGTGATCGTGTCGCCAATCTTATTAACAATGACACCCACGGCTTCCATTCGGACTTTTCGACTATGTAATTGTCTAAGCCTGTATAAACAGAAAACAATAGACAATGTTATCAAAACATAGATCTGACAGGAAAAAGTATAATTTAATATGTAATGACTTTCTTTAATTTAATGTAGCTTCTCTATTATAAATTATTTTTAATAAAAAAATATTATTAATTTTATGATTACAGCTTTTAATATTATTATTCCGTTAATCTAATCTTTTAATCAATTATTTCTTCATATTAACTTACTTTCTGATTTTGGTATCTAATACGAATCTCTCTTTCCTCAGCTGAGCTACCGTCTCGAGGCTACCCTCTATCTGTCTGATCACAGCCTTATTTTGCAGTAACTCATTGCAAAGGAAAGCGAGCATCTGTGCCTTATGCGTCGGATTCAATGCTAAGAAAGGCTTGTCTCGCAATCTTTCCGACATCTTCCATGTTTCGTTGTTATGTAAGTGCTCATAGAACTGCGCATTCTTTCCCGAGCAGGTTGAAGCGTAATCGCCGCCGTTCTGATGATGATCGGCAAATTTCTTGTCACGCTCACGCTCAAGGCACACCCCTGTCAGAGCCTTTACTTCGCCGGTTGCGTTCGCGTATAGATAAATTCGCAGTACTTCACTGATGTTGGCGTGAGTGATGTCAGCTTGACGTAAACTTTGACCTAAGCCTGTAGTATGTCTGGCCGGTTGCGGGATTCCTGGGTCTTCAATAGCACACACCAACAGGTGTGTCATAACCGACAGCATTTCCTCCTCAGCTTCTTCATCATTGAGAAGGGCAAGTTGAAGACTCTTCAAGCTCGGTAGCGATTCCATGTCTGCAACAAATAGGATAACAACAATGAATGCCGAATAAAATGATGAATGGTTTTTATTCTAACAGATGTAAAACAAAATGTTCTCACCAAATCCCAAAGTCTCCCCGAAATTGTGCAAAAATTCGAAGACCATGACGATATCTGCGAATGCTTGCCCTGAGAGCTTAAGTCCAGGTATTCTTTTGACTTCTGGCAGTGGTCTATGATCTAAAAGATTAATTAGAATTAGTTAGAGATTATTAATCTAAAACTCTCGTTATTCAGAAATGCACGAACTTGGCGCCCAAGTTCTTAGCTCGCTACGTGATGTAATAAGGACAATGCTCTCATCGCGTAATATCAGTCACTTTCGCGTACCTGTCAGTTCCATATCCTCTACGGGTTTGCGAATTTGTTCGATTAACTCCAACTCGACTCTTCTCTGTTCCGCCCGCTTTTCCTTCGTCGCTATTCTCTCGGCCCTGGCCTCCAAGCGTTTCTTCTCTTTCTCCTCCATCTTCCGACGGTTCTCTAGTGCCCGTACCAGAGCCATATGCTGCCTCCTTCTTTCTCTTTCCTGCAGTCATCGTTGATTGTGTTACAGTAACACGCAGGAAAACTAATTGGCACGCGCTCATGCAGATAATGTTGAATCAAGACAAAATTGCGAGTGTATTTAAATTTTCTGTTGTGCATTGTCAATAAAGCGCAATATATGTGTATGTTGTGTGAAGTGGAAAATCACAGTTATTTTTTTACAAATATTACTATTCATTAAACTCCAAAAATCTTCAATAGAAAATTTAAACTTTAAAGTAAAAAATCTAAGAACGGTTATATTTTAGAAAATTTACGTATTTTTTAAAAACATATATTTTTTTTATAAATATAAACGTCTGAAGTTAAACGTTTGAAGAAATGAGGATTTTAGTTGTACAAGTCGAGCTGTTCAAGTACATATACGGTTCCCATGATTTTCCACTTTGTATTTGTGTCACGCATGGATAATGGGCCAAACTCTACAACCGTCCCAAATTTCTCTTTCACGCATTACACATTACGAACAGTATTGTTAAACGGATGCACTGATAGTCATAGGAGAGCAACACGACGCGTCGATGGCGGAAATCGCCCTTTTACATTTACAGTGCGCAGAAAACCGTGCAGTTTCTAGCAAACCAGAACTAGCGGCTGCCCGAGCTACTCGAAACATCTCCCTTAGCCAGATCAATCCTACAATTCTTAAAATTTTCGAAAGAAGTTTCTACCAAATACGTCGTCATATAGCGAAACCGAGTGAAAAATTTCCCTAGCACTGAACTCAGAAATGCGAAACGTGTGCTTTTTTTTTACAGAATGTTAATTATGAACTGCAATGATTTGTGAAAGCTGAAGCAAATACAGATCGATTAAGTAAGCGGGGTTTGTTTTTATCAATTTCTACCAATGTATAGATTAATTTTAATCTCAGTTTTAACTTGCTCTTCATTTTTTCTAATTCTTAAAATTAGAAAAAAAAAAAAATAAGGAGGTAAGTTAAATCGAGATTAAAGCTATTCTACATTGGTAGAAATGGACATTATTGCGTTACGGACAAAAGTACAGTATGCCGAGGTGTTGAACGGTACATGTAAACCGCGACACGTGATCCGACAAGCCGTCGTCGTTAGATAGATCTCGAATTGACACACGTCAGAAATTTGATGGGAACGTAACGCAGTAATAGCCGTTCGTGTGCACGCCGCAGTTTGCGAATGTAACGCAGAGCCGATGCGAGTTAGTTGCGAGAGCAAGTCGCTAATTCGTTAATGCCGTTCTGTTAGACGCTAGATTGGGTATGTGACATACCAGCTCGACGGTGTAGAGCATCTCGCGCTGCTTGGTGAGCTCCTGCATGTACATCTGCGGCACAAAACACATCCACAGTCCACTAGTGCTCAAACCGCCACACTCAATCTAGTAATAAATCTTTCCCTCGCTCTCTACTGTAGATGTTTTCTACTTATTTGACTGCCACAGAATTAAATCGTGTCGCGAAATCGGCACCGCGATCGATCCTTTCACGACAAGATTGTTGAGCAGTGCGCGGCAATGCTATGTTGGACTGACTGTTTCAAGATAAAGCGAGTGCGACAAGTGATTACGGGATGTCTCATCTTCATCCTTGTAAATTTTCGCGACAGTATGTTCATCCAATGTAGTATCATTAACAAGTTTTTCGAACAAGATTTTAAAATCATTACATATAGAAAAACTTTACCATTTTTAATGAAATATTAAATGTATTTAAGGCAATTAAATGTGTTAGTAATATATTATAATTCGTAATAAATTCAAGCTTTTATTAGAATCTATTGCAAATAAAAGATTGAAATTTTATCTACTCTAAAAGTTTTTTTATTTGTGGGGATAATCTTTAATTTTCATTGTATACTTCGCTATTCGGATTTTCACTGAAGTTTCGTTAAAAAAATTTTATTCGAAATTCATCAGATAGTCCATAGTTAAAATTCATTTTTTGTGATGAAGAATGAACATCCCGTGTATGATATGTAATGAATTACACTTCCCCGAAAATGATATATTAATCGCATCAGCAATTTTACTTTTCGATGAATATTGGTAATATAAATAATGAGTTAGAGCTGTGCATCCGAAACACAGAATGTTGGATTATTCAAAAAGTGAATATTCTACAAGGTAAATTAGAACTTACTAATCACTGAAGTAACATGTAAAATAATAGCGTTGCATTCCTCGTATATATATCTGATTGCGTAATTAATTTCTTTATTTCTTATTCAATAACTGTGCTATATTAAACATTAAAAAATAACACATACGATCTCCTAACTTTCAAAAAGTTATTTCGGAACAATGACATGAATAAATGTTAATGTACAACATGCTATTTTTTAAGATCGGGAACGCGTTTTCTAAAATGCAAAAAGATTACGATAAAAAGAATTGCAATTCTTCAGAAACGATCATAACTTTTTATTTAAAAAATCCAATATGTTTAATTCAATTTGAGATTATATTTCTATTAATACTTAAGTCAGTTTTAAATAAGAGGTAAATCTTTAGCAAATATCTATGAGTATTTACAATCAAAGAGTTTAAAATCAAATATTCCATTCAAACATCCCTACGAAAAAATTACATGCAACTTACATGAAGTCTTCGCTACTAATAAATACTGTTTCCGAGATACGATAATTAATAAATTCTACCACGTAAAAAAAATATTCCACTTCATGTGTTTTTACTCTGTTTAAAATAATATTTCGCGTACGCTTCTTGATAAATAAAATTTCCTGCCTTCCGGTTAATTCGGTACGTAACGTAAAATTAATTTGCTTGGAGTTTGGTCTCATCCAAACTAAAAAGAAATGGGGAACGACGAATAAAGACGAATAAAAGTAAAACAGAGCACCTCTACGTCTACGAGAGACACACTCACGCACACTCACGCTAATCTACAGCGATGAAACGATTGACGGAGAACGATTTGTTTTAAGACGAAGGAACTCACCTGCTCCTTCAGCATAACCGCTTGCTGCCTCTTCAGCTCCCGTTCCTGAGGAATTAAAAGACTCTTTAATACAACTGTAGAAATAGTATCGCGGCAGTCGTTCGTTCGCGTATTACATCTAACTTTAGACGACTCGAGAAGAACAAGGTCGAGCATTAACGTAGTAACGATTGTTGAATTACCTGTTGCTTCCTTTGTTGTTCTTCCAGTCGGATCTTCTCCACCTCTTCCTGCCGTTTTTTCCGTGCCTGCGCATACGCCATACACACGTCACTCGCATCCGTAATCATGTTTATCAAGAGAAAACTTAGGTAATTTTGTTCTCGTTCGCGGGACCGCTCGGTATTTACGACAAGAGAAAAAGATATTGTTTTAGCAACGAAAACTACTTTCCCGTTAACGGTACTGATAACTGATTAATTAGCTTGAAGTTACCGCATCCCCTACTGGGATTTCTCATAGCGATGATCGAGAGGGTTGCAAGAGCGGAGAGGCTGTTTTATTATATTATTACGAAGATCATTTTTATTTTGATTGTGTCAAATTAAATTGTTAAAATTTTTCTTGTAAATTTGACATTCATTATTACATTTCAGAAGCGAAATGCATGAAAACTGTCACTACAGGATTGTATATATACAGTCTAAAAAGAAAAGTTTAAGGGCTTCATTTTTAATAATTCAAAGAATAATTTTCAGAAATACTCAACTGTTAAAAGTTATACATTGCATATATATAGAATGTGAGAAAAATTATTATAAAAATGCAACATAATTTTCAAGATTTCTTGACAATTTTGATTGACAAATATTTTTCTTATGAAAATATTCAAATTAAAATTAACGCAATTGAATTTCTAAAGCGACCATCTCGATCTCCGCTTCCTGATATATGTGGCAATTATTTACATTTCTCTGAACGAATAGAAACGGATCCATATTGAATTCGCAATCGAACGAATAGCTATACAAGTTCTCCATTCGCGATAATTTTTCCTCGGGTTTTGATTTCGTGATATTCATAGTGTAATTTGTGATTCGAAGGCTACGTGTGGAAAGCGATGTCTAAATAGCGCAGATCAGGGATTAAGCACTACTCTAAAGTTCGGGAATATAGCTGGAAGTTAGTACGGGTGCATTTATATTTTAATGCCAATTATTTGTTATTTGAAGCCGAACCTTCTTCAGCGCAGATTTCCTAGGAAGGTGCCGTAACTTTTTAATAATACACCTCGGATACTTAAGTAAATATCAAGTTGAAGTTCTGATAAAGTTCATTTTGAATTTAAAGAAAGAACAACTACCTACTTTTATTAGTTTGCACCCTTAATGAAAAATAGACTGCATTAGAGTTTCGGGATTACAAATCGTATCTTTGCGTCCTTCCCGGCTATATTCATGCTAAAAATCTGAATCTAAAAATCTGAATCTACTCTGCTAAATGCCCGTAGTTTACTTCCGTTTTCGTCGACTCGGCGATCCGATTATTGCGCTCTCGTGGATTTTTCTTTATCATCGGATATGCTAGGCTCACATCGTAACAGCCGTGAGATAACGTACGCTCAGTTTCTACATACCGATAAACATTGCATATTCAATTAGCGCAATAGGTCCTCGTAAAAAATCCTTGTACAAAGAGAGAAAGAGAGAAAAAGAGTAGTAAAAGCATGCGATTTAATATTAAAACCCCACCAAGAAAGTGACGCGTATACGTCGAGACAGCAGCCAAGCATAACGAAGATTGACTCGCTCGTGAAATATCTGAGAGCGAATTTGACAGCAAGAAACACGAATTGAAATAGTTATATTTAATTATGATATAAATAGGAGAAAAAAGAGTCAATTGTGTGAGATAATAAGAGAGCGTAAACTGTTATAAACCAACACCATTATACAAGATGAATAGAGATCGAAGAGAAGTAGAAGAATACGTGGAAAAGTGAAAAAATTTCAGCCGGGCATGCAAGGAGCCAAGCAATACTCGCCTATGTATGCACATATTATATCAATGGTACGTATGTACCGTCGCTTAAGCTGATAAAATATTAAAGCTATCGTGTCGTTTTACCTAGGAATATAAAATGTAACAGTAGATAATACATAGTAATAAAAGTATATGTAATATATGTGTATATATTTATATATATATATATGAGGTATAGGTGTCACATGTTCATTACGCGGGTAATTCGTGTGTCGTCCGCAGTACAACAAGAAGGTAAAGGAAAGCTCTTATATATACTCGTGTAGCGAATAATCGAATACTAGAGACAGGTTCTTCGAGAAATATGGCATGCTGGATAATCATGTAGCTAGCTGTTATTTTGTATAGTGACAGGAGAAGCTAGGCATAGGAGAGCATTGCGACAGTCGGTTTATATATTATCGTATATATTTATCGTGCCTACGTATATCGTCAGCTTTAACGTGCCTCGATCGCAGTGTTGATTTAGCATCTAGATCCTGTGATTCTCAGTGGACCGTGTTTTTCCGCTGCCAATCTCGGAAAACGCCAACCAACGAGAACTCAAGATCGACACCGATGCTTCTTCTTTATAATCTTTCGGCGGATTTCGGATTTCTTGCCCTTTATCGAGAAAATTTGAGCTTAGATTTCAAAATGTACTATAAATCAGATTAAAGACAAATTATAATTGATTCGAAGCGTTACTTTAATTAGAGCTTTATTTTATTTTTCATGAGCTATTAGTGTGGATGTAGAATGATTACAAATGTTAAGTTTTAAGTCTTATCTTCAAGTGAATTGAAGTAAATTATTTTTCAATTTAAATTAAATTCGCTAAAATAATGATGAGCACTTATTAAAAAGCACTTATTTATTTAGTATAAAAATTTCAAATTTTACATAATTTTTATTTAATTAAATACATATAATCAATATTAATTTACGAATTTTTTAAAATAATCTGTAGGTGATGAATATAATTAAATAAATTTTAAAAAATAAATACTATTATAGGTAGCATAATAAATGATTGCAGATAATAAAACAGAATTCCGAAATCCGCTTGGCCGAACAAAGAGATCGGCCACATTCAACCCTACGAAAGCACGGTGATGAGCATCTATATGCATGTATGTGTGTGTATATATATGTATTTTTTCCATTTCATTACTACGCGATAAAAAGTATTACGTGGGGGTGAATTTATGACGTCAGTCGCGGATTCCGTCTCTTCACTTTGATACGTGTCATCACGTTATAAACTTTTGCGTGCTATAATAAGAGAGCTTGAAGAATTGTGAAACGCTACGACTGTAAAAATATCATGAAACTTCCTACTGAAGACTCGTGCTCGTTGGACTTTCAGAAACATGATATTTTATGCACCAACGTAAAACGTGATTTTTTTTTTGTTTTCGCTCGTAGCCCCAAAATATTTAGGCGGCTAACATCCAAGATATTTATAGTTGTTGATAAAACACATTTATAAAAATTTCCAAATTCCTCGAAAAAGTAAGAAATAAACAGTGAATTTATAATACAAGAAAACTATTTAGTAATTTATGATATCGAAACTATTCATATTTCTTCTTGTGACACATTAATGAAGAAGAAAGAAAGTCGAGATACCAATTCATTAATTTTTATTTATTCCATTGAAACGAGTTTATTTTATTGTGTATACTATTTTTCAAAGCAGAGAACGTTGAGAGGAGCGTTGAAAAGACGACAAAGACTGACGCAGAATGACAGTAAAATTCGCACGATTCGTCTGTTGTGGAGCACCGGAAGCACTTATATTATTTCACGCAAACACACGTAGAAGAATCGCGGGCCGCGAGCCGGGTATACTCACGGTAACTCTTACCTCCGGGGGGATCTCTTCGCCCTTCTATCGCAAACCGTTTCCGGATCGCGGAGGAAATTAAAGCCAAAAGGAGAGACAGGGACATCCGGAAGTAATAACGACTCACAAGACAATATGACAACACTCATTAGTGAATATGATGTGATCGATGATGGATCCAAGTGGCGCATATGTCGGGATATCGAGCTTCGAGACTATTACGTGAAGGATGTCAGTGGGGTACGAAAAAAAGGGGAGAATCAACGGGTCCAGGCGGGCAAGACCGTGGACAGGGTGATTCGGATGAGAGAGAGGGGGTTCGGGATGCGTCATACGACATCTTACCTCCAGAAGTTCCTGACTCTGCGTCTGGGTCTGTGCCTGCTGGGTATTGTCCGGCGGCATGGCCGTGGTCGTCGTACCGGTCGACGTGGTGGTCGATGACAGGTTCGACGAAGACGAGATCGGCGCCGTCGGCTGCGGTGATGGCACAAGGCCCGCCGACGCCGGCGGCAGGGTCAAGGTGGGGTAAGGTGGCGGCGGTAGTGGTGGCGGCGGTAGTACCGGCGGCGGTACCTGCACCTGCACCTGCGGAGGCGGAGGCACAACCACGCCAGTGACCAGAGACGGCGGCGTCGTTGTGATCGCGGTCGTCGTCGTCATCGTCGTCATCGTCGTCATCGTCGTCATTCTTCCCGGCGTGCAGTACGCGGCGGTGGTCGACACGAGGGACGACATCGGCGGCGGCGGCGGCTTCTTCGACGGTACGTCCTCGATGTCTGCCTGGTGCATCATGTCCCGGTTGCGCCAGCTCTCGGCAATGCTCTCGCGATTCTTCCAAATGGTGGCAACCGTACTGCTCGCCAGACCCAGCTCGCGAGCCACGTCGCTCTTGCTCTTGCCGCGCTCGATCTCTTGGATGATCTTCATTTTCTGCTTGATCGTGAACGCGAGCCGCTTTCGACCCTGCGTTGGTGGTGGTTTACAGGGATGCCCAATATATAATCGATCGCGTTAATTGGGAGGAAGGTGGTCGTTTAGCAACCACATGCGACCGGTCGTTCGCGGTCGACCGGCGGGGGGGCGGGGGGGGGGGGGAAT